TTTGCAAGGCTGATTCAGAAAAAAAAACTTTTAAAAGGTAATATTTTCTTTTCCTTTTCGTTGTTTTGTATTTTTCTTTTCGTTCTTTCAGTGATGGTAGTTTTGTGGCCAATGAACCAAATTTGGAGTCAGCCAACCTGATTCCAGATCTCCACTCTGCCCTTCTTTAGCTCTATACCCCTGTGCAAGTTACTTGATCTAAGCCTTTCGTTCTTAAGCTGTGAGACAGATTAAAATCTGCCAAGTAGTTATGAAGATTTAGTGCATGCAAAGTGCCTAACGTATAGTGGGGATTCATAACAGCCATTATAATTCTGAAATTCTAAATTGAAGATCCAATCGGTTTCTCGGAAAGTACTCTGTGAATTCCTCCTAAATTTTTCTAGGAAGGCTTCTAGACTTGCGGATTTTTAGGGCTTCACCTCGTACACATGTTGTTGAATCTTCAAGTAACGTGTAAGAAATTAGACAGCAAAAAAAATAGTAATTTCTTCGCTTTTGAAGAACTATAATCCTAGTACTTTAGGAAGGCAACGCAGGCAGATTACTTGAGGCCAGGAGTTTGAGACCAGCCTGACCAACATAGCGAAACCCCTTCTCTACCAAAAATACCAAAAAATGAGCTGGGCAGGGTGACGCACCTCTGTAATCCCAGCCACTTGGGAGGCGGAGGCAGGAGAATCGCTTGAACCCGAGAGGCGGAGGTTGCAGTGAGCCGATCGCGCCACTGCACTCCAACCTGGGCGACAAAGCGAAACCCTGTCTCAAAAGGAAAAAAAAAAAAAAAAAAAAAATCACCTATTATCCATTGCTTCAGTTTGCCTCATTCAGACTAACTGTATGTCTAGAATACTTTAATTGCAGGCTTAGTACAAGACTTTTAGATTTAGCAGGGCAGTCTGTGTCTCCCATCTGAGATATGTATCTATTTGGAGATAATTTTAAATGCCAGGACCAAATTTGGTTCTTGCAGGTTCCGACCCCTTTCTGACCTACTTTCTCCCTTCACGAGTTAGCTTTGTATATACCAAACTTCCAATCTCCAGTAATCTTCATTTCTTGGTCTCATGTTAATGCATTAAAAACAACTTGTCACTGTGAGCCTGGTTTAAGGCGGGGGGAAACTCTTAGGTCATCCACCTCCTGGATTTTCCTTCCACCTTGAAATTATGTTCAAGAAAGGTACTCAAAGTAGTTGGATTCCCATTTCAGTGCTTACTGGGTAATTTCTCCCAACAGGAAAACTGGTATATAACGAATAGGCACCAATATGGAGACAGAAGCAAGTTTTACCAAGGGCAGACAAGCAGTGATAAGAAAGAAATGTGGTTTAGAACAAGTGTTTCTGGCTGGGCGCAGTGGCTCATGCCTGTAATTCCAGCGCTTCGGGAGGCCAAGGAAGACAGATCACCTGAGGTCAGAAGTTCGAACCCAGCCTGGCCAACATGGCAAACCCCATCTCTACTGAAAATACAAAAATTAGGCGGTGTGGGGGCGCAAGCATGTAGGCCCAGCTACTCAGGAGGCTGGGCAGGCAAATCACTTGAACCTGGGAGGTGGAGGTTGCAGTGAACCAAGATATCGCGTCACTGCACTGCAGTCTGGGTGACAGAGGGAGACTCCATCTCAAGAAAAAAAAAAAAGGCCGGGCGCGGTGGCTCAAGCCTGTAATCCCAGCACTTTGGGAGGCCGAGAC